GGACCCCCAGACGCCCCTCCCAGCCGAAGCCCACCACCTCATGAAAGAAGAGAGCCCCAAGCAGCCTCCCTGCAAGAAGGCCTTCACCATCAGCGCTCTGCTGAAGCCACCGAGCGAAGATGGCAGCGCTGAAGCCCGGCCCCCGAGCGTGGACGGAGCCTCCGTCGGCCGCCTCCACCCTCCTCCTCCTCTTCCTCCTCCTCCTCCTCTCGTGGAGGGTGGCCAAGGGCCCCCCGCCAACCCTCCCCAGCTGCCCCCCACCTGCTGCACAGACTGTTTCCAGGTGCCCCTCTGGCACCCACATGGCACTTCGTCCCCGGCTGGGGGGGCCTTACCCCTGCCGACTTTCCTCACCATCCCAGCCTCGCTCAGCCTGCCCTGTTGCACTTTAGGGCCTGCTCCGTACGCCGGTTCTCCTTGCTGGAACTTGGTGGCGGGCCCCTGCCCACCCCACCCGTACCCAGGCCCCCCCACCGGCCCGGTGGAAGTCCAGCAAGCTGGCCACCTGCCGGACGCCTCCTGGCTAGCAACCCCTCTGCCTTGGGTAGTCCCCTTCCAACCTCTGCCCCCTCACCAGTACCCTTTCTGAGGCGGGGTGGGTGGGGGTCCCTATTCGAGGGAGGGGCTGGGCAGAGATTGCCCTGAATTGGAAGTGCACAAACCCGCTAATTTATTTAATTCTTGTTACGCCACAACTTCACAAGGTGGCTTTTTTTTCCTGGAGGGGGGGCTACCATCCCTGGTGTTGAGGGGGGGCTCCCCTTTCAATGGTTTTCCATGCCTGCACATAGAAACTTTTTATCACTGTCATCGTGGCGGCCGTTCACAAAGCCCACTATCCACGTCCCGGCCACGGTTCATGCTTTGCTCCGAAGGCACGTTGTTCCTGTGGGGGTGTGTGTGTGTCAGTCAAACGGGGATCTTGCCCACTGGTTACTTCCTGGGGAGGTGGGGGGGGGACGCATTTTATAGCTGCTGGTTTGCAGTTCCGGTTGCAAGGATCAGCTTTTGATGGTGGGCGATTTCTGCCCGGTTTTCAAGGGCATGTTTGATATCGTTTATTAAATTAATAAACATTTTGCATTTCAAATACTGTTGCTCCCTTGTTTGGTTTTCCTCACCTCTTACAGGGTGCGCTTCAGCCAGAGCGCCATTCCATCATCTCTCTCCAGGTGGGAATCTGATATTGGGTGAAGCCACGATTAGGGGTGAGGGGGGTCCTTGGGGGTCTCTTGAGCTTTTGAGGGTTTTCTTGCAGATGTTTCATGACCCAACTAGGTAACTTCGTCAGTGTTAGAAGGGGTGGGGGGTGAAGAGGAGCAGAGGAGGAGGAGGAATAATCGAGAAATAGGACAGGGAGGGGGGGGGTACTATGGGGTCCTTGGTACTCCTGGAGGTTGGTGGTTTTCTTGCGGGCGTTTTATGACCCAACTAGGGAACATCATCAGTGCTGGAAAGGAGTGGGGTTTTAGGAATGGTAGTGGTGATAATGTAGGAGGAAGAGGAGCAGAACCGTGGGGTCCTTGGTGGTCTCTGAGCTTGGTGGCTTTTTTGCTGAAGTTTCATGACCCAACTAGGTAACATCAATGCTGGAAGGAGAGAAATTTGCAGGGTGGATGAGCAGAAGAACTGTGGGCTCCTTGGTGGTCTCTGAACTTGGTGGTTTTCTTGCAGACGTTTCATGACCCAACTAGGTAACATCATTAGTGCTGGAAGAGAAGTGGGGTTTGTGGAGAGGAGGAGGAGGAGGACAGGAGGGGCCGAAAGGTCCCTGTTGCTCTCTGAGTTGGGAGATATTCTTGCAGACGTTTCATGACCCCACTAGGGAACATCATCAGGGATCAACTAGTTTGGGTCTCTACAAGCTCTGCAAGATTCTGCACCAAAATGGAAGGACACTTTGATCCTCACAATGGATGAAGGACTGCAAAAGTTGACTAGTTAGCAGAGATGCGAAATGGGCTGCTTTGATACAAGGGGAAAAAAAAACACAATTACTTTTGTTTCTACTTGGAAACCGCTTCTGGACTTTGTGCTTGAGGTGAAAAAAAAAAATACATATGAAACTTTGATTTGGGGTTTTACCGATTAGATGGGTTTGTTGTTATAAAAAGGACCAGTTTATATCACTCTGTAAAAGTAAAAAGTTGGAGTTTGATGGTATTATCTTATTTTGCTACACCAAAGGGAATAGGAATTCCTTTTCCCTCCCTCCCCTATTTTTCTTACTGTTTTCTTTTAGGTTCAGATTAACAAGAGTTGGAAGGGACTTTGTAGGTCATCTAGTCCAACCCCCCGCCCAAGCGGGAGA